AGCCGCCAGGGGTGGTTGCACGGGCTCGTTCGCGGCCATTTTGTGGGGATGTCTCAGGCGGTTTGCTTGTTTCTGGGCTCAACATCCTTCGCTTGGAGAGCAGATTGTGAGGATGTCTCAGGCGGGGCGCTGGTTGCAGCACCCCTAAGGGGAGCCGCCAGGGGTGGTTGCACGGGCACGTTCGCGGCCATATTGTGGGGATGTCTCAGGCGGTTCGCTTGTTTCTGGGCTCAACAGGGAGGGAAATGACAGGAACGAGGATGAGGAGGAGGAACAGGAGGAGGAGGAGGAGGAGGCGGGGGATCGTGAGGAAGGGCATGGGGGTGCGGAGGGGGAGGGGGAGCAGGAGGATGAGGAGGAGGAGCAGGAGCAGGAGAAGGGAGGGGGCGGAGGAACAGGAGGAGGAGGAGGAGGAGGGCGCTTTGCTCGAAGGTCCTTGACGCGAGCAGAACGTTTGTTCCGAAGTCCAGGACATATATATATATATATATATATATATGTATATATATGTATATATATGTATATATATATATGTATATATATATATATAAATGTATTCATAGGGGGTGACTGCGAGGGGGGGCGGTGGTTGTGTGCGGGGATCGCTGGAAATGCTCACCGTGGCACTATCCTCCAACATGACATGCACTTATGGCCTTGTGTGGCTAAACGCTCGTCTTACATATCCCACTGCCAACTATCCTACAACATATGCACATGTGGGAAGCTCCAAAGCTACCACGGGCTGAAAAGGGGAAGGCCTGGCGGCTGAGGGGGGGATGAAGAGGAAGAGGCTCGCATTCAACCATACTCAAAGGTCACTCTGACTCATACGCAATCACTCGCATTAGGGGTCACTCGTCTTCGTCGGCCCTGTCGCCCACGTGGACGCGCTATTGTAGTCGACCGCTCATGAACAGACGCTCACCACGGCATGACATAAAACATGAGATGCACATATGGGGAGCTCCACGCAGTGCGTAATTTTGATCGGCGTTGGCCCCCCCCTGGCGGCGCCTCCGGCGCCGCCCCTGGCGTGCTCCGCGCGGCATGGAGGGGCGTCCAGCGCCGATTCAAGAAATCCGCACGAGCCTCCGAGACATTCCGTTTGCGCAGTGTTTCGTCCGTCCCGGCGTGGTCTCCTCCGCGACGCGAGCATGTCTCATCAGGACAGCCAAGACGCTGGAACCAGGGCCACTCTGGGCTCAGGAAGGGCTCCGTCTTTCGGGCCGCTCCTCAGACCGTGGTCGGGGAACCCATTCGTGGCCTCAGCTTGCTGCGGCCAGGGGCCCCCGGAAGAGGCGTGGAGTCCACGGTTGAGGCGTGTCGCGAGCTTCTTGGGCACTGTGCGGGGATTCTTGTGGGCGCCCTGGGAGTTGTCTGGGGGCCTGGCGGAGCCTCCTGGAGGCAGTTTTGCAGCGTGCTTGGGCGCCGCCTCGGGGCCTCCTTTGGTGCATCGTGGGGGCCTCTCGTGGCTCACTGGGGGCCTCTTCCTCCGCTCCTCCTTCTGCGCCCCCCCTGCCCCGCGCCCCGGCTGTGTGCCGAACCCCTCCGACGCACCCCCGCCTGCAGCCTCCGGGCCGGTGTGCCCCCCCGTCTCAGCCGTGCTTCGAGGGGTCGGGGCGAGAAGCGCCGTGGGAGAAGCGCGGGTCCTGCGGGCAACTGGTCCTGAGCTCCTCTGCCGTTTTCGGGCTCTCGGGGCCCTCCACGGGCCCTGGGACTGACGGACAACGACTGGGGATGAAGATTCGGTCCTGGGGGAAGGCCCCAGGGTCCAGGGCCTGTTTCCCTCAGGACTCGTTTCCCCCATGCGAAGGGAAGGGGTGGGCCTTCTCGGAAGGCTCGGAAGGCCTCGTGCCTTTGAGAAGCTTCTCGGGCCTTCCCGCATGCCCAGAAACCTTCTCAGAAGGCCAGAAGGCCTCCGAGAAGGCCCACCGCCGTCCGAGAAGGCCAGTCCCTTTCCAAGCCCCCCCAGGCCCGGTCCCTACCTTCCCCAGGCTCTCTCGTGCCAAGATCATGGTTGGGGGTTTCTCGCTGTTTTTTCGTCCACCGGCTGAGGAGAGGATGAGAGGAGGAGAGGAGGAGAGGAGGAAGAGGAGGAGGAGGAGGAGGAGGAGGA